CAGTCTTTTCATTTATGAAAAATATACCCAATGTTCCACAAAAAAAATAAAGTTGACATCATTTCCGGTTTTACCGAAAAAGAACTACAGGTTTACCTGACTAAAATAAAAAAGTTACAGGGGTTGTATCAAATAAAAGAAACACCCTGTATACACTTTTTTAATACATAACCCAAAATTTCGAAAGAAGTCATAAAATTTATATCAGGGGTTTTGAAAAATTGAAGTTTTTGAAAGTTCCCAAAAATCCTTAAAAAATTCTGGTATATAGATCTCGACGAGCTGATGCGAAAGCATAACTAATATTAAAAAAAATCGGTCTAATCATGATTTTTTTCAACTATCTTGAAAGCTCAAAAAAGACAAGCAATTTATACCGGGTTATTGAAAAAATGACATTTCAAAAACCCCAAAAATGTGCGATATACATACATATCTCAACAAGCTGATTCGAAAACATGAATTTTCAAAAACTCGGTGTGAAAGTATTTTTTTAACACGTCGAAATCTCAAAAAAGTAAAAAGTTAGTACCGTAGATTTTGAAAAATTCAAGTTTTTAAAAGTTGACAAAAATCCCCAAATAATTTAAGTTCAGGGATATAGATCTTGACGAACTGAATTGAAAACATAAATTGTTAATGATCCCTGACCAAGATTTTGGAAAAATTCGGCCTGATTTTTTTTAATAGGTTAAAATACAAAAAAAAAACGGTAAAAAAATTCATACTTTTTAAAAGTTGCTTAAAAGTCCTCTAAAAACTCTGGGAAATATATTTGGACCAGATGAATCGAAAAACAAATGGCAACGTTCCCTGAATAAGATTTTGGAAAAATTCGGTTCGAAAATGAAACTTTTTAATACAACACGAAACCTCGAAAAACGGTGTGAATTGTGAAAAATTTTCCAAAAATCTTCAAAAATTTGGACAAATTAATTTGAAAAACATAAATTTTTGATTTCCCGAGCAAGATTAGTGAAAAATTCGGCTTGAAAATAGAAATTTTAAAAAATCTCAAAAAAGTTTTGCAAGATTGAGAACTTTGAGAGCTGCCAAAAATCCTCAAAAATTTCGGAGATATAAATTTTGACGCACTGTTCGGAAAACACGAATTGTTAATGGTTCCTGACCAAGATTTTCGAAAAAATCGGTTTGAAAATGATTTTTTTAATATCTCTAAATCTCTAAATTGTCAAAAAATTCATTGAAAGGTTCAGATTTTTGAAAAGTTGCCTCAAAGTCCTTTAAAAATTTTGAGAAATATATTTCCACCAGCTGATTCGAAAAAAAAGATTGTTAATGCTCCCCGAACAAGATTTTCAAAAATAAAATGTTTTAAATGTATCTCGAAATCTTGAAAAATGGTGAAAAAATTGTGAAATATAGACTTGGACAAACTAATTTGAAAAGATAAATTATTAATTTCCTAACCAAGATTTTTGAAAAATTCAACTTGAAAATGATTTTTTTAAAACTCTCTAAAACTTGAAAGAAGGGTTTTGCAAGATTGAAAGTTTAGAGAGTTGCCAAAAATCCCCAAAAAAATCGGGGATATAAATCTCGACGTACTGATTCAAAAAACAGGAATTGTTATGGTTCCTGACCAAGATTTTCGAAACATTTGGTTTGAAAATGTTTTTTTAATATCTCGAAATCTTGAAATTGTCAAAAAGTTCACTGAAAGTTTCATATTTTTGAAAAGTTGCCCAAAATTCCTCTAAAAAATCTAGGAAATATATTTCGACCCGCTGATTCGAAAAACAAATTCGTAACGGTCCCCGAACAAGATTTTCGAAAATGAAATGTTTTAAATATCACGAAATCTCGAAAAACGGTGAAAAAATTGTGAAAAACATATGTTTTTAATTTCCCGACCAAGATTTTAGAAAAATTCAGCTTGAAAACGCAATTTTTTAAAAAATCTCTAGAGCTCGAAAGAAGATCAAAAGATTCATACCGAAAGTTTTGCAAGATTGAGTTTCGACTTTCCAAAAATCCTCAAAAAAATCGGGAATAGAAATCTCGCCGTTCTGATTCGAAAATGAAATGTTCTAAATACTCGTATCTCGAAATCTTGAAAAACGGTGAAAAATTGTGAAAAGTTGCCTAAAAATTATCAAAAACTTCAGACAAACTAATTTGAAAAACATAATTTTTAATATTCTCCGACCAAGATTTTTGAAAAATTCGGCTTGAAATTTTTTTTTACATCTTTCAAGATTGAGAGTTGATCGTTGCCAATAATCCTCAAAAAACTCGGGAATATAAATCTCGACGTCCTGATTCGAAAATCATAAATAGTCAATGAGACCAAACTGACCAAGATTTTCGAAAAATTCGGTTTGAAAATAATTTTTTTAAATCACTCGAAATCTCGAAAAAGCTCAAAAAATTCATTGAAAAATTAATAAAAATGTGGGTAATACATTTCGACGAGCTGATTTGAAAAATATTACGTGTTAATGGTAACGGATCAAGATTTTCCAAAAATTCGGTTTGAAATTGTTTTTTTAATATGTCAAAAGCTCGATAAAAGTCATACAATTCATGTGGGGAGGTATCGAAAGTTTGAGACTTTAGAATCCCTCAAAAAAATTCTGGGATATGTGTCCCAGTTAAAACTCCACGCTCATATATCTTGAGAACTGATAAAGATATTTAAATTAATTATGTAAACTAAATTGTTAAATGTAGTGCTTATTTATGCTTGCAACAAAATTTTTAATTAATAAAACTATATAATCTTCGAAATTTAGAATTTGAAAATTTTGATTTATTACTCCAAACTTTTGGTTTTCCGTTTATAATTTTGACTTTTTCTTTTAGTGTTGGGATAGTTCAACCCTTTGACGAATTAAGATTTCTTTGTATAATTTTGCGATTTCGACTTTGTTAAACCAAAATTTAAACTGTTTATTTCGAAATTTAACCACCTGTCAAAATTTTGCTGTGTTTTTTGTCTCTCTTTTGAAATTTCGATTCATTATCTCGAAGTTTTTAGTATGATCAATTCGAAGTGTCAACATGCCATCTTGATTTTTTTTTAATTAAGTGAAAATTTTGACTTACGATTTCCAAATTTCTCAAAGTTTGGTTTATTTTATAATTACCCGCTCCAAATTTTTGGAGATTCGAATCTCATCAGATCGAAGCTTTATTTTTTAATATTTCGTGTTATTTTTTTTATTTTGACTTAAATATTGACAAGTTCACTTGAAATTTATACATTTTATACTAAAATTTCAATTTAGTTGATTAGAAAATTTTGACATTTTCATTTCTTTAACTCGAAATTTAGAATTTGAAAATTTTGATTTATTACTTCAAACTTTTGGTTTTCCGTTTATAATTTTGACTTTTTCTTTTTGTGTTGGGATAGTTCAACTCTTTGACGAATTAAGATTTCTTTCTATAATTTTGCTATTTCGACTTTGTTAAGCCAAAATTTAATCTGTTTATTTCGAAATTTAACTAACTGTTTAAACTTGTGATTTAATTCTTCGCTGTTTCTTGTTCCTATTTTGAAATTTCAATTTATTATCTCGAAGTTTTAGTATGATTAATTCGGAGAGTCAACTTACTATGTTGATTTTTTTTTAATTGTGTCAAAATTTTCCTAATGATTTCCAAATTTCCCAAAGTTTAATTTGCTTTAGAACTATCCAGTCTGCAGTTTTTTCACAAATTCGAGTTTGATTAGATCGAATTTTTTTTTTAATATTTCGTATTATTTTTTTAGAAATTTTGACGTAAGTAAGTCTTGACATTTTGACTCACAAGTGCACTTGCAAATTATATACTTTACACTAAAATTTCGATTTAGTTCGAAATTTTGACGTTTTTATTTCGTTAATTCTAAATTTATAAATTGAAAATTTTCATTTATTCATTCAGACTTTTGATTTCCTAGTTTTTACTTTGATTTTTTCATTTAGTGTTGTGTACTTCAACCCTTTGACATTTTAAGATTTCTACAATGTCGCGATTTCGTTTTTGTTAAAATAAAATTTAAAATTTTGATTTAATTTTTCGCTGTTTTTTTTTGTCTGTATTTTAAAATTTCAATTTATTATCTCTCAAGTTTTAATATGATTAATTCGAAGTGTGAACATACTATGTTGAATTTTTTTTTATTGAAATCAAAATTTTGCTTAAGATTTCCACATTTCCCAAAATTTTGTTTATCTTACAACTATCCACTCTGTATTTTTTTACAATTTCGAGTTTGATTAGTCGAAGTTTTATTTTTTAATATTTCGTGTTATTTTCTTGAAATTATGACTTAAATCTTGACATTTTGATTCACTAGTTTAGTTATCATCGACATGCTAAATTCTTTCCAAGGATGACTCGATCACAAATTATGTTGCTCGCCCGATATAAAGTAAAGGTTTAGCGAGACACACGAAGCTGGTTTAGCTTCCTAGATTTAATTAAATGATGTGTTCTGGTTTCTGAAAATACCTTAATTAATTTGCCGACATTCTGCGTCATAACTACTAACAATATCTTGTTTCACAGGACCCACAGGACCCTTGTGCCTACGACATCGATTTTTTCCACAATTGAAGTCCCTAATCCCTGCTGATGAAATTAAACGTATAATCCAGACTTTGTGCACAAACGTCACTTCATAAAAATAACCGAATTATAGATAAAAAAAAAACCTTCCCCGTCGCCTTATTTCCAAACTTCCCCGCTTTCAAAGGTAGAGATTTTACAATTTACCTCCGCGTATAAATCCCTCGCAACAAAAAAAATCACTCGGCCCATTCTAAATCATCCGCGGCTTTCAATAGCACGCCCCCCATGAATCAGCCGCCCCCGGCCGCCGCCCCCGCCTTAATAAACATCAATCGCCGGCCATCATCCCCAAAGACCGCCGAAATACCTCGAAATCATCTCCACACGTGCGTACCTTCCGCGCCGGCCGATCCGATTACAAGCCGGCGGGTTTTAACTCCTCTTTGAAAAATCAAAAGTTACGTATAAATTCGTACCTGTCCAAGTGGAAGGCGGCAATCTCCGCATTGTGGCGTTCGAAGTCCGTGAAGTAGAAGTGATTGGGAAGGGTCTGCTGCTCCCTGGGGAACCTACAACAAAAACACACAGTCAGAGACCCCGTGTCACGTTTAAGCGGCGCGTGCAGGGCGTGGAGGAAGCCACAAGTGAATAAACAAGGCTTCTCGTGATAGACCGCCGCATAGATTTGCCTGATTACGTTTGTACCGATAACGAAAGAATAAGGTGGATGGAGGCGGCGTTGCGGGAATGCGAAAGCGGAAGGGGCGGAGGTGGGCGCGAAAACGGGAGGAATTGCGAACGTGGAGGCAATGATTGCAAATCTTTGAGAAAAATTTTTGGTTTTTGTACAATTTTAATCAAATTGGTTGTTTTTGTTCAGGGGCGGGTGACTTAAAGGCGGCTTTGGATACAATGGGACGAACACAATGAGGGGCTGCGGACGAGGTCTCGAAATAGCAAATCGGGCAAAACGAGTAGTGAAAAGCATGTACAAGACGGTAATTGGGAAAGTGGAAATGAATGGTGGGAAATTAGGTTACTTCATGATGAATAAGGCGATTAAACAAGGAGATAGTCTTGGCCCACTTCTACTTTTTAACACACTAATGAACAGAGACAAAAACTGGTCGAAGCTTTCTAGAAAAATTATGATTTTTTTTTTAATTTTTGTGTTCTGATAACCCACTATAAAGTAAAAACCAGTAGCGTAAATAACACGTCCGCAGCTTACCGATTTGGGCTTCTCAATTTTTCATTTTTTTTTCTGTTAATTCAGTTTTTCGATTTGCAATTTTTCGAGTTTTCAAATCTAAATTTTACAGGTTCTCAATTTTCCAACTTTTGCATTTTTCAATTTTTCCTTTATTCAGTGTATATTTTTTCGTTTCTTCAATCATATTTTTTCAAATTCATTCCTTCACTTTTTTTATTCTTCAATTTTTCGCTTCGGTTTGGTTTTCTTTATTTTTACAATTTTTCGGTTTTTCAATGCCTCCATTTTATAATTCTGTTTTATCAGTTTTTCCATTTTTTTTTTAACTTTTTATAGTTCAAGTATAAAATTCAAGTATTTTTTGTTTCAGATGCCGCGATTTCGTAATTTTTTTTTCGGTTTTAATTTTTTAATTCTTCATTTCTTCAGTTTTTCGATTTACAATCTTTCCAATTTTCCACTTTTGGTTGCTTTAATTTTTAGATTTTTCAATTTTTCGATATACAATTTCTCGAGTTTTCAATTTTTAATTTTTCCATTTTTCGATTCTTCAATTTTTCATTTCTTCAAATTTTCGATTTGCAATTTTTCCTTTCGGTTTTATGTTTTCTCTATTTTTACAATTTTTCCATTTTTCAATGTTCTCATTTTATTTATAATTTTGGGTTTTCAATTTTTCGATTTGCAATTGTTCATTTTTTCTTTTATTTTTATTCAATTTTACAATATGCAACTGTCAAATTGTCATTTAAAATTTTTCAGTTTTTCAATTTTTCATTTTTTCCATTTTTCTATTTGTAATTGTTCGTTTTGATTTTTATTTTCTATATCTTTTCTATTTTTCGATTATTATTCAATGTTTCAATTTTATAATTTTTGTTTTCCCAGTTTTAATTTTTTCAATTCTTCCTTTCTTCAATTTTTCGCTTTGAAATCTTTTCAATTTTGCAATTTTTCATTTCGGTTTTTTTTTTATTTTTACAATTTTTCGTTTTTTCAATATTCCCTTTTTATAATTTTTTGTTTAATCGGTAATTCGTTTCCATAATTTTACGCAACTTTTCATTTTTAAATGTTTTTTGCTTTTTTAACTTTTTGTTTCAATTTAAATTTTTTTTAGTTTTTTGATTTTCCTACTTTCGTTTGAATTTGGATTTAGCAATTTTTTGAGTTTTCTATTTTCCATTTCTTCAACTTTTCGTTTCTTCACATTTTCGATGTGCAAATTTTCGTTTCGGGTTTTTGTTTTCTTTATTGTTTCAATTTTCTTATTTTTTTAATGTTGCGATTTTATGATTTTTTGTTTTACAAATTTCAATTTTTTCAATTCTTCGTTTCATCAATTTTTGAATTGCGAATTTTTCCATTTTTCAATTTTTAGTTTCTTCAAATTTTTGTTTTGCAATTTTTCGTTTAAGTTTTGTGTTTTCTCTACTTTTACAATTTTTCAGTTTTTCAATGTTCCCATGTTTTTATAGTTTTGCTTTCTCAATTTTCCAATTTTTCTTTTTTTTTATTTCTTCAATTTTGCAATATGCTCCAGTTTTCATTTGAAATTTTTGATTTTTTTGATTCTGAAGTTTTTTGTTTCCATTTTAAAAAAGTGCATCTTTTTGATTTTTCAATTTTACATTTTTCAGGTTTTGGATTTCTAATTTTTCGATTCATCAATGCTTCGATAAAATTTTTTTTTTTTTCAATTTTTATTTTTTCAGTTTTTCGTTTCTTCATCTTTACGATTCGAAATTTTTCTATTTTTTATTTTTTCGGTTCTTCAATTTTCAGATTTTGTAATTTTTATATTCTTTAATTTTTAATTTCTTCAAATTTTCGTTTCGGTTTTTTGTTTTCTTCATATTTACAATGTTTTTATTTCTCAATATTCCCATTTTGTAATTTTTAGCTTTCCCAATTTTGGTTTTTTCGATTCTTCGTGTCTTCAATTTTTCGAATTGCAAACTTTTCAATTTTTCATTTTGTAACTACAAATTAGTTTTTTCAACTTTTAATTTTTCATTTATTCGTTTCTTCAATTTTTCAATTTGCAATTTTTCGTTTCAGTTTTGTGTTCTTTAATTTTTTTTAAATTTTTCATTTTTTCTTCAATTGTACAATATGCAATTGTCAGGTTTTTATTTCAAATTTCTAATTCCTTTGATTTTTGGACCTTTAGTTTCCATTTTAAAATTTTTCAGTTTTTCGATTATTCAGTTTTCCATTTCTTCCATTTTTCTATGTATTTGTAATTTTCGGTTTTTTATTTTCTTTATCTTTTCAATTTTTCGATTATTCTTCAATGTTTAGATTTTATAATTTTTTGTTTTCCAATTTTAATTTTTTCAATTCTTCCTTTCTTCAATTTTTCGCTTTGAAATCTTTTCAATCTTCCATTATGCACTTCAATTTTTGAGTATTGCAATTTTTCGTTTCAGTTTTGTGTTGTTTTTATTTTTATAATTTTTCGTTTTTCCAATGTTCCTATTTTACAATTTTTGTTTTATCAGTTTTACCACATGCAACTCTTCATTTTTAGATGTTTTTCGATTTTCCTATTTTCCTTTGAATTTTTAGATTTAGCAATTTTTTCAGTTTCCATTTTCCATTTCTTCAACTTTTCATTTCTTAAAATTTTCGATTTGCAAGTTTTCGTTTCGGGTTTTTGTTTTCTTTATTTTTTCAATTTTCTTATTTTTTAATGTTCCGATTTTGTTTTTTTTTGTTTTACAAATTTCAATTTTTTCAATTCTTCGTTTCTTCAATTTTTCGAATTACAAATTTTTCCAATTTTCAATTTTTAGTATCTTTAAATTTTTGTTTCGTAATTTTTCGTTTCAGTTTTTGTTTTCTCTACTTTTATAATTTTTCGGTTTTTCAATGTTCTCAAGTTTTTATAGTTTTGCTTTCTCCATTTTCAATTTTTCTTCTTTTTCGTTTCTTCAATTTTATAATATGTTCCAGTTTTCATTTGAAATTTTTGATTTTTTTTGATTTTCAACTTTTATGTTTCCATTTTAAAATTGTTTAGTTTTTCGATTTTTCAATTTTTCATTTCTTCAGGTTTTCAATTTCTAATTTTTCGATTTTCAATTTTTCGTTTCGGATATTTGTTTGCTTTACTTTTACAATTTTTCAATTCTTCATTGTTTCGATAATATAATTTTTTGTTTTTTCAATTTTTATTTTTTTTGGTTCTTCAATTTATAGATTTTGCAATTTTTCATTTCTTCACATTTTCGATTTGCAATTTTTCGTTTCGGCTTTTGTTTTCTTTATTTTAATAATTTTTTTATTCTTCAATATTCCGATTTTGTAAATTTTATTTTTCAATTTTAATTTTTCAATTATTCATTTCTTCAATTTTTCAAATCGCAAACTTTTCAATTTCTCGAGTTTTCAGTTTTTCAATTCTTAAATTCTTCAATTCTGCATTTCTTCAAATTTTTGTTTTGCAATTTTTCGGTTTTTCAATGTCCCCATGTTTTCATAATTTTGTTTTCTCAATTTTTTGATTCTTCAATGTTTCAATTTTATAATTTTTGTTTCTTTTTTACAACTGTTTTATCTCTCAATGTTTCGATTTTGTAATTTTTTGGGTTCTTCAATTTTCTGATTTGGCAATTTTTCGATATACAATTTTTCTCGAGTATCCAATTTTTAATTTTTCAATTTTTCGATTCTTCAAATTTTTGATTTGCAATTTTTCCTTTCGGTTTTGTGTTTTCTCTATTTTTACAATTTTTGAGTTTTCCAAAGTTTCCATTTTGTTTTTAATTTTTGTTTAACTTTTTGTGATTTTTAAATTTTTCAAAATCTCTTCAAGTTTTCTTTAAAAATTTTTAATTTTTTCGAAATTCGAACTTTTTTATCTTTCAGTTTGAAAATGTTTCGGTTTTCGACTTTCCCACTTTTTGATGTTTGAATTAATTTTTTTCAATTCAATTTTTCATTTCTTGAATTTTTCGTTTCGGATTTTTATTTTCTTCATTTTTCTATTGTTAGGTTATTCAATTTTTCAATTTGCAATTTTTTAGTTTTCGATTTTTCGATTTCTCAACTTTTAGATTTTAATTTTTTTCGATTTTTTAGATTTTCGAGTTTTAATTTCTTAATTTTTCATTTTTTCGAAGGAAAAAAATCGAAAAATTGCAAAACTGAAAAACTGAAAAATCAATAGATTGCAAAATTTAAAAATTGGCCATCAAGAACCTGAAATATTGAAAATCAGAGAAATCTGGAAAATCAGATAATTGGGAAATAAAAAAGCTGCATAATCGAAAAATTCAAAAACTGGAAAATTAAGAAATCGGTAAAATGAAAGACTGAAAATTTGAAAAATGGAATAAAAGAAAAATTACA